TTTCTGAAGCTTCGTCTGACATACTTTGGAAATGTTGGAAGGAGGAACCAGTCTTTGGAGAGAGATTTCATGCTTGAGAGGATGGAGGGACAGAACAAGAGAGGAAGACCCTCAGTGGGATGGATAATTCAATGACAGGTCAATGGGTATAGGTGTGTTGGAGACAGTGAGATTGGCACAGGATAGAGCAAAGTTAAGGGCTGTTATACCTAGGGTCACTATGAGTCACAGACGACTCAGAGGCAAATAACAACAACAACTAGTTCTACCTATTTTAGAGTGATGTTTAAATATATGTTGAACACTAATAAAAATTATGGATAAAATAATAACATAGTCTGGATTCAATATTTGAATAAAAATTATTATGTCTTAACTAATAATAATTTATCAATCACTTTAAACTCCTTTAATTCTTCAATCACACTAGTCAAGGCTCTCGTGTATCTTGACTTCTTTCAATCAGACACTTTTATACTGCGTCTTTTTTAGTTTCATCCTTTTTTCTTATTTTTAGTATTTTTTAAATTTATCCTATTAAATTTTATATATCCTTCATCAACTGATAAACTGTTGATACTAAAATATATATATATATATATTTTCAGAAATACTTAAAATTTCCTTCCTGTACATATTTTCTTTTCTAAAAACAAAAACAAACCCACCTAAACAAAACACTTTTATTCTGCAGTATTTGAAATCATATGTTAAATATATGATTATATATGCTTCAATTGTATATATTAACTCAACAAATGTTTGAGTTCTTAATGGTTACTAGACACTAATTTGGACTAAACCATGATATGGTAGCACAGATTCTTAAAAAAGGAAGAGGAAATGTCCAATCGTAAAGCAAAGGTCAAGATGAAGCAATTTGCTGCTAACACAGAGTCCAGAGGTCTCAATATACCAGCTGTTCACCGAGAAAAAAGATATGGTAACCTGCCTCCATAAATATTGTTGTTGTGTTTCTCACATCAGAACTCACTTATACTGACCCTCTAGTGGGTTTTCATAGACAGTAAATGACAGGAAACGCTATGGGGCAGTTCTGTTGTATACAGTCACTCTGAGTCACATCAACTAACAGCACATAACAACAAAAATAATTACAAAGTAGCCATGCAAATTTATTCTCTAAACATGGAAAAGTACAAATTATGTAAATACTACTTTCTGAAATATGAAGATGTATTTTAACTCACAACTTTATAGGCATTCAAGTTGTATTTTCAAACACAAATTGTCTGCAGTTAATGAAATGACTCTCATCTTCTGATAGGAGAATAGTCCTTTGCAATATATTATTGAAAACAGATTAACTTCTTAACAGAAGGGCACAAAATAAATTCTATCACCTATGACCACTAGCACCTTTAAAAAATCATCTATAAATACCAGTCAACAGTAACTTTTAAGCAAAGATGAGAAGGTACAGAGGAGTGGGGAAAGTAGATACATGGAAACAGAGAAAGAGGGATAATGACAATCTTCACATATTGTTAAGAATGAAACCAAACCTTCACCAAAATGATAGCAATTAAGACTTAAAAACAAAATAAGGGGGGGAAAGCTATTTTTTACCTAACTAGCCCATTTCAACACTCTTTCCTTATCAATGTTTTCAAGTCAATTCTGATTCATAGCATCCCTTCACAGAGCTTCTCCCATGAAGCAACTGATAAATTAAAACCACTGACTTCTTAGTTATCAGCACAGCATTCTATGCACTGTATCACCAGTGTTCTTTATTGTTTCATTACCATGGGGGTTTTATATATATATATTTTTTCTTACCTGAATTATGTCACTGAATGATGTTCAGAGATTTGAGAAACAAATCAAGTTGTTTTAAAATTCTGTAACTATTTATTAAAATATCTATGGCAAAGAAAAAACGATCAGGTAAAATAATTTGAATGAACAAATCATTTTACCATTTTCCTCAATCTCCATGTTTGTTGTCATTGTTATGTGCCATTGAGTTGCCTGTGACTCATAGTGACCCTATGTACAACAGTCCTAACCTCTGCTCTATCCCTTACCAATCTTATTATCTCTGACATGCCTATCCAATTACCCCAGTGATGGAATCAACTCATCTCATTGAGGGTCTTCCTCTCCTGCACTGTCCCTCCACCCTCCCAAGCTTGATGTCCTTCTCCAAGAACTGATCCTGCCTTGCAATATGTCCAAAGTATGTCAAAGAGAGCTTCAGAATCCTTGCCTTCAAAAAGCAGCCTGGCTTCACCCCCTCCAGGATGAACTTATCTGTTCTCATAGCAGTCTATGGTATATTCAATACTCTTCTCCAGCACCACAGCTCAAAGGCATCAATTCTTCTTCTATCATCCCTAGTCATTCATTGTCTAGCTCTCTGATTATCAGGTGCACCTTAGTCTTCAGACTGACATCGTTGCTCTTCAATACTTTGGAGAAGTCTCTGACAGCAGACTTTACCAATGCCATTTTAATTTCCTGGCTGCTGGTACCAAGAGTGTTGACTGTGGAGCCAAGCAAACTGAAGCTGTCAACAATCTCAATCTCTTCACCATCTATCATGATGCTTTGTTTTCTTGATTTTGAGCCTCAATCCATATTGAACACTGCAGTCCTTGAGATTCTGCAGCAAGTGCTTCAGGTCCTTCTCAGTTTCAGCAAGCAGGGTTGTGTCATCTTTGTAACGCAAACTGCTGACAAGTCTACCTCCAATCCTAATGCCACACTTCTCCTCATAGAGCCCAGCCTCCTGGATAATCTGTCCCACATATAGATTGAAAAGTATGGATATAGGACACATCCTTGATGTACAACCTTCCCAATTTTGAACCCTGCAGTGTTTTCTTGCTCTGTTCTGACGACTGCCTCCTAGTCTAAGTATAGGTTTCACATAAGCACTATCAAGTGTTCTGAGATTCCCATTCTTCTCAGAGTCAGCCACAATTTGTTGTGATCCACACAGTCAAATGTCGCTGCATAGTCAATGAACCCCAGATAGACATTCCTCTGGTACTCTCTGCTTTCAGCCAAAATCCATCTGACATTAGCTATAATATCCCTAGTGCCTCAGCCTTTTCTAAACCCAGCCTGCACTTCAGGTAGTTCTCTTTTAATGAGCTGTTCCAGTCATTTTTGGATAATCTTCAGCAGAATCTTACTTGCATGTGATATCAATGATACTGTTTGATAATTTTCACACTCTATCAGATCACCTTTCTTTGGAATGGAAACAAATATAGATCTCTTCCAGTCAGATGCCCCGGTGGTTGTTCTCCAGATTTCTTGGCCTGACTTGGTGAGCACGTCTAGGTTAGTGTTGTTGTTGTTGATTGCCTTTGAAATGAGCATGACTCATAGTGACCCTATGAACAAAAGTCCTGAAGCCTCTCTACAACTATTGACATTTATCAAAGTTCATAGAGTTTCCAGAGGCATGTTGTTTAGGAAGTGGATGCCACTCCTGCTTCCAAAAGTATAATTAGAGGACTGAAAAAAAAACCCAAAAGATTCTGAAGCAAAGAAAAATATTTAAAGAACATAGTAATGAAATAAGACAAGATGATATAAATGATAAGCATCTAAAATGAAATACATCTTAAATTCCATAATCCCTTAATTTGTTGTTAATAGGTTGTGTTGAGTACAATTGAAAACAACCCATGAACAACAGATCTAAACAGGGTCCTATCTTGTGCCCTCGTCACCATTTCTTCTATGCTCAGGTTCATTGTTGTAGTCACAGTGTCTATCAGTTCATCTCACTGAAGGTCATCCTTTCTCTTGCTCACCCTCCACATGTCCCAGCAAGAATTCCCTTTCCACTCTATAGCCTCTCCTACCAACCTGTATGTATGTGAGATGAAGTATGTGAGGTAAAGCTTCACCATCCTTGTTTCCAAGGAGCTTCCTGGCTGCACTTTTTCAAAGACATATCTGTGTTCTTTTGGCAATTCATGTGATATTTAGTAATCTCTAACACCACTAATCAAAGATGTGAATTCTTTTTCTGTCATCCTTATTCACTGTCCAGCTCTCAAGTGCATAGCAAGGCTTAAAAAGACCATGTCCTGAATAAAGCACACCTTAAGTCTACAAGCTAACGTCAATGCTCCTCAGTTCTTTGGAAATGTCCCTGAGAGTAGACTTCTCCAATGCAGTATGTCTGTTCATTTCTTGACTACTAGTATAAAGAGTGTTGATTGTAGATCCAAGTAAGATGAAATCTTTGATGATTTCAATCTTCTCTCCATCTATCACGATGTTGTTTATAAGTGTAGTTTTGAGGATTTTTATATTCTTGATATTGAGATACAATTCACATACAAAGCATTGTTGTTGTTGATGATTGCCTCTGAGTTGAGTACGACTCATAATGACCCTATGACCAAAAGGCCTGAAGCCCCTCTACAACTATCGACATTTATCAAAGTTCATAGAATTTTCGGAGGCAAGTTGTTTAGGAAGTAGATGCCACTCCTGCTTCTAATACACAAACAGTTCCACATACAGAGCATAGTCTTCAATTTTTTTTTTTTTTTTTGGCAGCAAGCTTCCAGGTCTCCCTTTTAGCAAGTAAGGTTGTGTCATCTACAAAATGCAGGTTGTTGATGAGTTTTCCTCCTATCCTAACACCACATTCTTCCTCATAGAGTGCAGCCTTTTGAACGTTTTGCTCAGCGTCCACATTGATTGAATACAGAAAAAGGCTACAATCCTGATGTACATCTTCCCTGATTTTAAACAATGCAGTGTTCTTTGCTCAGTTTGGAAAACAGCGTCTTGATCTAGGTATAGGGGGGTTTATGAGCATTAAAAAGAAATTCCTTAATTTAAGCATCTTTTAAAATTCATCACTTATTTTTATAATATTTTTGTAATTTTTTTTAATTAACCACCTAGGACAAGGACCTTTTCGCAGTCTGAGCAGAGAGATTTGTAATAGAATCTAAAAGGGCTATGAGAAAGTAGAACCAGGAGGGGTCCTAAATACTAACTTTTCCAGAAGACTGGATGCCTTTAATCATAGCCAAGCAGACCACAAGCCAGGCAGCTAACAGGCAGATGGTCATCTTCCAGTTTAAGCCTCCGCTTTCAGAGATGGAACTGGAAATATTCAGTGCTTCTCTGTACCAATAGTAGGTGGTGGCTGAGCTTCTTTCACATTCAGGCTCCACAACTGTAGTAAAAAGACAGGGAACACATTATCATAATATTTTAGAACACATTTCTTAACAGTAAGTGTGCTTTTTATCATTCTTATAACTATTAACCTTGTTCTCTGCTTATTATATGTCTTAATTATAACAAAATCAAGTTTATCATCCTTCCCACCTTCACAGTTAGGTAGTACTGTCAAATGCAGTAGCTCCTGGCCACACGCAAGTTTGGAAAAGAGTCTGATATAATGTCATTGTAAAATACATGTCAGAATTTGAAGACAGTATGAGAAATATAATGCCAGCTCTTTTCCATAATAATTTTATATTACATGCTGAAATGATTATGTTTTGAAATTAAAAGGTTAATAAAATATTATACCTGCCTGCTTTTATTTTTAAAATGTAGCTATTTGTAATTTAATACCACTTACACTGTCTACCTATTAGAAATTGTTACCAGAGGGTCTTGATTTTTCTTTCTTTCCTCAGATACAAAAATAAACATTAAAACTTCAAAATAGACTAAAAGAAATAAAAGCAGATTAGTCCTCATTCTTCTTTTTGCTTGTTGGTTTTATTAGTGGATTTTTTGTTTATTTTAATGATCATGTAAGGTAACAAGAAGGTATGCAAATGAAAAGCGATACAGAGTTAACACTGGCATGTTTACAATCTTTTATCCAACTGTCATGAGCACAATAAAATAACTTGGGAATTGGCAAATTAAATTTCCCACACATCTATTTCTGAGTGTAACAATCCAAAATGAGAGGAGATATTTTTCCATAGTATTGTAAAAAAGAAAAAAAATATTTCAAAAGTGCATGGCTTTACCAACCTTATTATCTTAAATTGGAAATATACAAGATTGTTTATGTCTTACATGTATGTGAAGCATTTTTCACCAATGGACACTGATCCCATGGTAGAGGTTGCTGAAAAGATTGAGAAAAATAGAAAAAACTCCAGCCAATGATCACATTGTAGTAGAGAGCCACAAAAAAGCACACCTGTAAAAATAAGAGTGATCACATGAACACGTCCATACTTGCCTTTGATACAATGAGATGAAATGCATAAAATACCATCACACTCACATATTCTCTTTAGAACAAACTATGTGTAACTAAGCTAATCTCTCCCGTATGCTATGAGCCAAAAATCAAAACAAACCCGTTGCCACTGAGTTGACTCTAACAGGTAGGAACGGGTACAACTCCCCATTGGATCACCAAGCTTCTAAATTACGTATTAGACTGCTATTCAAAAAGTTAAGTGATCCAAATTCCCCAGCCTCTTTGTGGAAGATGAGATGTTTCCTCCAGTAAAGATTTACAGCCTCAGAAACAAGACAAAGGGTCCTACGAATAAAAATAAACTCAACCGCAGTGCTATTTGAACCGCAGTGCTATTTCAGTTTTGTTTTGGTCTGTTGGTTTTTTGTTTTTGTTGCTTTTTTTAATGGAAGATTGCCATCTCTTCTACTACAGAGCAATTGATGGGTCTGAACCACTGATCCTTTGGGTAGCAAAGAAGTGCTTTAACCACTGTACCAATAGGCTTCCTCTCCTTAGAAATCTTAGTAACAAACAAGATTGAGTCATATTAATATTTACAGTTGGGTTTTTTACTAGCACATGCTCCTGTAATATTTTTTAAAAGACAAAGAATAGAAAACATTATAAAGAGGTTCATTTTATAAATTAACAATATTTTTCTACACCCTGTGAAAAATGTCCCATCTACTTTACTGGGAAACTTACCACACAACTTGCAAATCCAATACCACCCAGTTTAGGGCTTATGTAATTCCATACACCAATGCTGCCTCGCCGAATTCTTTGACCCACAGAAAGTTCCAGAAAAAAAAGGGGAATGCCTATCACCAGAAGCAGTATTAAATATGGCAAAAGATAGGCACCTACAGGGGGAAAAAATAGATTACATTGTCAATTCAAGAAACAAACTTCTTATTACCTCATGAAACACAGTATTTGAATTTATGACATATAATCAGAAAGAACTTTAAAGATAATGCAATTTCATGCCTTTAAAATTTATAGATTTGAGACTTAAATTTGTTACAAAGTGTTCTGAGGAAAATCCTTCCATTTCATTTTCTTGAGAGGGTAAAAGCTTCTGCAATTTGCATAAAGTAGCTGATTTTTAAGCTGATGGCTTCACAAACTCCTGGAACTGTTATTCATAAAATGTTTACTAAATACTTTTTTAAAAACCTTTATTCTACTCATCTAAAGTTTTATAAATTCCAAACTTGACAATTTAGAATGAGTAAGATTTTATGTTCATAAAAGTTATTTTATTCCTTAAATCAAATGATGGGGGAGAATTACTGCCTAGCCTCAGGAAAATAAAAGCTAACTGTTGCCATTTTCTCCACATAAATTTTACATGAGAACAGCATTTAACCAACATTTTTTTTGTTTTTTAGAAATCTGCAAAAGAGTGTTGCGAATGGTTAAAAACATTAAAATCATGTAGTTTTCCACCAAACAATTTAGAGCTCCAGTTCATTCATGAGGCATTTGATAACCATGGTAAAAATGCATGCCCTTTTCTCCTTGTATTGTTGTTGTGTGCTGTCAAGTCAGAACCAACTCATAGCTGACCCTCCACTGGGTTTTCAGAGACAGTCAATCACATGAGAGGAGCCTACCCATCTTTCTCCATGGAGCAGCTGGTAGATTTGAACCACAGGTTTTGGGTTGACAGCAAAACCTCTTACCACTAAATCACCAGAGCTTCCTCTCCTTGTCTGAGGTGGTCACAAAAATAAGTCAAGATTTCATTTGTTTGATCTTTATGTGATAATTTCATAAATCTTATTATGAAATCTTACATAGGACTTCAAAGCTTATTTTATGCTTATTCTTGTTGTGTGGTTTGTTTTAAATATAAATACCCTTTTTTGTGTACTTTTAGAATATAGAACAGAGCATGCTCAAACAAATTTTTCTGTCAATTTACTTTTATGAATTTAAACTCAGCTGCTCTGCAAAAAAAAAAAATCCCTCCAAATATCATTAAGTTTGGGGTAAGGTACATGTCCAGGAAAGAATAGTGAAATGTTGGTCTCAAAAATTCCACCAGTTAATAAAAATTTTGAGACAAAAAAGGTTACAGTTGGCCATCAGAAGTTTACAATACCAACTGAGGGCAATAATCGAAGCTAAGACCATCAAAACTACACCGAAGTTACAGAATAACGACATGTCCATTATTCCATAGTCACTTGTCATTTGGAGCAAAGTGGAGAAGAAGCTCCACAAATTGGTATCTCACAAACTGAATGAAAATGAAAGTTATCATGCTGAGCAATTTCTCGATCTTACTGAGATATGTGATGAAAATTGGATCTTCTGTGAGAACTGATCATATTTTGTGCAGTGCCTGGACTGAGTTGAAGCACCAAAACACTGCCCAAAGCTCAGCTTGCACTGAAACAGGTAACTGACTAGTCAATGGTTTGCTTCTGGATTCATCCACTACCACTTCTGAATCTGGGTAAAACTATTACTGCAGAAAAAATATTGTGATGAAGCACACTGAAATCTACAACATTCACAGCCAGTATTACACCTGACACACTTATCCCACAACGAACACTCAAACAGCTCAGTGAATTGGCTATGAAATTCTGCATTCCCTAGCAGAGTCACCAGGCTTCTTGTCAACTAACCAACACTTCTTCAAGCACCTGAAGACATATTTTGCAGAGGAAATCTTCTAATGGCACAGGTGTCTTTAAAATATGCCTCAAGAAAATTATCAATTCCAGACTGCCGGAATTTCATCCAAGCAGAATAAACAAACTTGTATCTTGGCAAACATAGGTAGTTTGTAATGGTCTCATTCCAGTTGATAAAGTTAAGTTTGAACAGAGTTATATAATTTCAAAGTAAAAGTTTAAAAATCTACATTATTTTTGTGACAACCTAGTAGTAAAGTATGAATATTCTGCCTCTAGATTGCCCATATTGAATATCCCATGGAATGGCAAAAGAACATGCAAGTCTGTCCTAGAGGAATTCCAGACAGGGTTCTCCTTGGAGACAAGGATGATGAAATTTTGCTCAGATACGTTGGGCATGTTGTCAAGAGTGGCCAGTTCTCAGAAAAAGGCATCATGCTGAGAAAAATGGAAGGTCAGAGAAACAAACGAAGACTCTCAGCAAGATGGACTGACACGGTGACCGTGACAATGGGCTCACACACAGCAGAGATCTTGAGAATGGTGCTGGACAGGGCAAGGTACAGATCTGTTGTTCATATGGTCACTACGAGTCTGAGCTGACTCATGGCATCTAACAACAAAAGAAAGTTTCCACTCTTAAAGATTTTTGAGGAGTCTCAAATAAAGGCACTGAGACTAATGACTACATCTGTACTTAACAATTTGACAATGTAATTTAAATAAAAGATACTAGGTATTATGTATTGGGCTTCAAAGTGTATATTTGAGAGTTATATTTATTTCTACTTAAGAATACACAAGCAAACTAGTAAGTGTCCTCAAAGACAGACTCTATATTCATATTTCTTCACTGAAATGTTGTTTAATCAGATAATGCGACACTTGTAATAGTAATATTCACAGACTACTGATATGACAATATGCCCTAAAGAACTGAAAGTAAGAAATGAGGGGGTGGCTGGATTATGGTAGGGCCCTGCTACTTTTGAGGCCACATAGGAAAGAAAGAGGGCAGCTACCAGCCGGAGGAAAGTGCTCTCAGGCTGTTGTGCTTATTAGGGACAACTCCAAACATTCACCAAGGACAACTCCAAACTTTAAAAGAAGAGGGCAGCAGTCAGGCGAGACTCCTGCAAAGCTTCACTGCAGTCCAAAGAGCATTTGAAGGACCTTAAGAAAGGAGACCTTTCCCATTCTACAGGCCCAGAAAGGACTCCCGGCATAGTGAGTCACCCTCACCCATAAAGGGAACATTCTAAGTCTGAAACTAATCAATAACCTCATAAAGATAAAGAACTGTCAATAACCTCTTCAGGCACAAGAAAAACAGCCTAATCTATACCAAGAAAAACTTCACATAATGACATGAAAGCAGCAGGCAGCTTCAAACTTTGGTGGGGGGGAACCCCCAAACCAAAATAAGCGTTTTCCTAAAAGAGAAGAGCATACTGTAGACCCAATGAATACCCCAGAGACAGAGAGGCCGAAGAAACATACTGATGTGGAGACTTATGAACAGTTACAGGAGAAAGTACAAATAATGGGAGAAAGAGTAGAAGTTATAAATGAAGTTAATATCCCAAAGACGAGAACCAGAAGAACTATACTGATGTGGATAAATATGAACACCTGAAGAAATTGCTAAACATGGAAGAAAAACTTGATATTATAGATAAAAAGGTTGTTGTTGTTGTTGTTGTTGTTATGTGCCGTCGAGTCATTTGTGACTCATACTGGCCCTATGTACAACAGCCATAAACCCTGCTCTATCCTGTGCCAATCGCACTGCCTCTGACACACCCATCCCGATTACCCCAGTCACTGAATCAATCCACCTCATAGAGGG